TATCATCTATAGCACTAAAACCTATCTTATCCAAGACAAAAATCCTTGCATGGCAGGGGATGCGCTAGTAGAATAGTGAAAATTTAAAATTATAAGTTGAAGCAAATGAAGCATAAGTTTAATTTGCATTCAAATAATAATTGACAAAGTGACTTACTATATCAACTTCGAATGTCTCATCCAGCTTGATGCTGAAGCGCCTACCATCAACAAGGAAATTTCTGTCGCACAGGCCGCGCTGGTCTTCACAATGTTCACACATAATGAAATCTTTTTCGTCGTCAGATGACATTTCCTATGTTCATATAGGTGAAACATTAAACACCTATTACTATCTAACATTAATTTATATCTAGCCAAATATATATTCATTTAACATTTGACATTAATATATCTAACTATATTCATTTATAACAATTGACATTACTACATATTTAACTTTTCTATCTAATTCATCTAACATTCGACATTAATCTAACATTTATATAAACTCAAAATATATAAAAAATTAAATAAACAAAAAACTCATTAACAAATAATATTTTAATTAGATCATCAAATCTCAGATACCTAAATTTTCTTACTAAAAATAAACTAGTTCAAATCTCATATACCTAAATAAACTAGTTATATTAATTATTGAACTAGTTCAAATCTCATATACCTAAATAAACTAGTTCGACAATTTTCTTACTAAAAATAAACTACTTATATTAATTATTGAACTAGTTCAAATCTCATATACCTAAATAAACTAGTTCGATAATTTTCTTACTAAAAATAAACTAGTTATATTAATTATTCAACTAGTTCAAATCTCTAGTTCGACAATTTTCTATCTAGCTAATTCATCTAAGATTCGACATTAATCGAACATTCGATCATCTAATTAACTTCTCTAAAAAAACAGAAAATAAGTAAAAAAATGTGTGTGTATGTGTGTGTGTGTAGTGTGTACGTATATATGCATGTGTGTGTATGTTTGTATGTGTGCGGTCCCGTACGCCGCAGCCCCGTACGTACGAGCGGGGGCGCCGGCGTACGGGGCGGGGGCGGCGGTGTACGTACGAGCGGGGGCGCCGTCATACGGGTCGGGTGCGACGACGACGGACGGCGGCGCGGCGGGTATACGCTAGAGCGAGAGACGTACGGGACCGTGGCGGGACAACGACGGACGGCGGCGCGCGGCGTTCGGGGCGGCGGCGCGAGACGGTGACGACGACGGGCGGCGGCGGGGACAGCGACGACGACGACGGACAACGGGCGGCGAGGACGGGTTCGAGCGGCGCGCGAGAGGTTGGAGACGAAAGAAGTGGGAGACCTAACTGAATTTTCGTAAGTGTTGTATATATAGGAGAGGCCTTTAGTATCGGTTGGAGCCACCAACCGGTACTAAAGGCCAACTTTGGCCAGGCCTTTAGTACCGGTTGGTGGTTCTAACCGGTACTAAAGGGTGGTCCTTAGTACCGGTTGGAGCCACCAACCAGTACTAAAGGTCTCGCGCTGCCACCCCAAAGTTTAGTCCCACCTCACCGGTCGAAGGGCAGCCGCACTGGTTTATAAACCCAGCCGCGACTACCTCTTCAAACTCCTCTATATAGCAGGCTTCTGGGCCTAATTAATTAGGGCGCGCTGCCCTGTGAGCCTGCTGGCCCTTCTGGGCCTGCATTTGAACACCCTAGGTCTGGCAGGCCCACTGGACAGCGCGCCAACAAATTTTTTATATAGTTTTTTCTTTTCTGCATTATTTATTTTCTTCTATTTATTTTTGAGTAGTTTTTATATAGTTTTTTCTTTTTTGCATTATTTATTTTCTTCTGTTTATTTTTGAGTAATTTTTTGTATAGTTTTTTTATTTTCTGCATTATTTCTTTTCTTCTATTTATTTTCTTCTGGAAATTGAATGCTGCATACTGAACAATTAGGTAAATGACCGAAAAACAACAAATGATGTCAGAACATGTTGGAAATTGATGACGTCGCTTTGAATGATGCATACTGAATAGAAAAGAAGTCTGGAGTTCAAATAAGTTTAAAAAACATTGAAGTGGCCGTGTAACAGATGAGTTCTCGTCCGAAACCCTGATACTCCGAAAGAGTATGTCCAGTTTGTACACGAAGTGCGTCCAGTTTTTGCCGTGACTCTCTCTACTCTTTCGCCCATGCTATGCGGGTGATATAATGATACCATGCCAAGTTTCAACATTTTCAGGATTCATTTTGTAGTGATTTTTAATTTCACGGTCATTTAGCTCTCTAAACAATTAGGTAAATGATCGAAAAACAACAAATGATGTCAGAACATGTTGGAAATTGATGACATCGCTTTGAATGCTGCATATTGAACACAAAAGAAGTCTGGAGTTTAAATAAGTTTAAAAAACATTGAAGTGGCCGTGTAACAGATGAGTTCTCGTCCGAAACCCTGATACTCCGAAAGAGTATGTCCAGTTTGTACACGAAGTGCGTCCAGTTTTTGCCGTGACTCTCTCTATTCTTTCGCGCATGCTATGCGGGTGATATGATGATACCATGCCAAGTTTCAACATTTTCAGGATTCATTTTGTAGTGATTTTTAATTTCACAGTCATTTAGCTCTCTAAACAATTAGGTAAATGACCGAAAAACAACAAATGATGTCAGAATATGTTGGAAATTGATGACGTCACTTTGAATGCTGCATACTAAACACAAAAGAAGTCCGGAGTTCAAATAAGTTTAAAAAACATTGAAGTGGCCATGTAACAGATGAGTTCTTGTTCGAAACCCTGATACTCTGAAAGAGTTTGTCCAGTTTGTACACGAAGTGCGTCCAGTTTTTGTCGTGACCCTCTCTACTCTTTCGCGCATGCTATGCGGGTGATATGATGATACCATGCCAAGTTTCAACATTTTCAGGATTCATTTTGTAGTGATTTTCAATTTCACGATCATTTAGCTCTCTAAACAATTAGGTAAATGACCGAAAAACAATAAATGGTGTCAGAACATGTTGGAAATTGATGACGTCGCTTTGAATGCTGCATACTGAACACAAAAGAAGTCCGGAGTTCAAATAAGTTATTAAAAATAAAAAAGAGGTGCAATGCTGGTTAATTTGCTTCAAGCCATTCAGAATAGTGTAGACTGCACTGCACATAGCTCAGTGCAATCTATGCTATTCCGCAAGGCTTGAAGCTAATCAACATGTAGGTGAGCACTGCAACTCTTCGTCATTGTCTGTGCACTCACGGCTTATAAACCACTCATACTGCCTCTCTCTTGACGAGGTGGGACTAAAAATCAGCTTACAAAGAAACTCTAGTACCGGTTCATGGCATGAACCGGTACTAAAGGTCTTCGTGGGGGCCCCAGACTGACCATAGCCTGACACAGCCTCATTAGTACCGATTCGTGGCATGAACCGGTACTAAAGGTTACCCACGAACCGGTACTAATGATGCCCGCCCGCCTAGCCGTTGGAACCGGCACTAATGGTCACATTAGTGCCGACTCAAATTCAAACCGGCACTAATGTGCTTCACATTTGACCCTTTTCTACTAGTGCCTCCAACGACGGCGGCGAAGGCTCTAGCTGTTACGACGAGGAACGGGGCGCCATCGCCGCGGGAGAAGACGACGGCGGCACGGGTACCGGAGGCGACAGATGTTGCATATGCCTGGAGCGGATGCCGGACGACGCCTGCAGCGGCATGTGGCGGTCGCTTCGAGTGGCCCTATGCATGGAGCAGACGATGCTGGACGCGGAGACGTGCATTCCGCTGCGCTGCGGCCACGTCTTCCACGCCGGCTGCATCCGCGGCCAGCGGTTGAAGAGGAGCGGCACCTGCCCGTCGTGCCAGACGTCGGCATGGGTTTCAGCACCATCACTAAGCTTTGACGATGAAGGTGTTTTAGCTTTCCTTATGGTATTTTGGGGTTTTGTGGGGGCGTCCTTGGGTTTCTTTGGTGATCCATAAGATAGCTATTTGTTGGCGACAAAGGAAGCAGTAGTGTAGATACTAGGAGAATAGACCAGTGAAAAAATAATGCGCTCTAGCGTTGTTAATAGCAGGCTATAGCATTATGAACAATGCCTCGCAAAATAAATCAATGTACAGTGTCCCGTTAATAGCACGCTATAGCATACTAATAGCGTATTTTAAGGGCCACGCTATTTTGCCATGGCATGCTACTCTTCAGTTTAATAGATCTAACCTGATGACTTTAGATGTACCTGGAATTCATTGGGCATCAGTTGTTCATACCGCTTCAACTTTATGAATCATGTCGCGTTGTCTACTATTGAGTACTCCTTATTGCGCCATCATTAGTGTCAACTATAAAGGATCAACAAATAAGCAGCACAGATAATCAGATAATTTTGCAATTTTCTTCATGCCATGGCCTTTAGTATTAAGCAACGATTACAAGTAACGATATTGATCCAAGGTGTATAGTGTCTACACCAAATTTAATTTGGAGCGAGTCAACCATCACATCACTATCACCAGGATGTCAAGCCAGCCATGTGGTGAGAACCATGCTGCGGATGCTTGGAGGGCCAGTTAACCAATTAGCGATCATCCCGAGCACGCACCTAATCATGTATTTTCAGCAAAATTCACCTGAATATGTGTCAGCCTATCCTATATCCTATATGTGCCTGATTTTTTCCCCACATTTTCTGACACCTACAGATACGAGTTTTCAGTAAGTTTTCGCTTAAAAATAGAGTTTACATGAAGTTGTTGCACAGGATTCACATATAATACCATGAAAATTTCCCGTAAAAAAATATACTACTACCATGAAAATTCGCTGAAAGTCAAAATCGCTGTCGGTTTCTGCACGAGATCCTTCTTGTCTTCCTCCCTTTCTTTTGTTGCGGAGAAGTCACCTTCGTCTTCTTCTCCAGCTAGTCAATCTCTTGCAAAACAAAGCAACACGAGGTGACAAATCCCAATCAAAAACCCATGCGGTGCGCCCTCCGGTCCACGCCATTAGCGAGCGACGGTTACCTACCACCTCCCGCTCAGAGGTCGGATCGCAGAGGCCGTCCCTGTCGACAGGACGCAGGCGCTAGCTAGCTGCAGAGCCCGCCAACCATGCCGGATTAATCAGGCAAGGCAACATACGGCCTACGCCCGAGTGGCGGGACGTGAATTGCTTCATGTAGTACTAACGGTACAGCCTTGACTTTTCAGGAGCTATAATTCTGTCAGGCACATTTTAATTTCAGTTTCACGCGAGAACCGGTCCTGGCCACGGAAGAAGAAGTGGGCAGCAGAAAGACAACGCCTACCTGCCGCAGATGCGTCTGCCTTGGCCATTTGAGAAGAAGCAACGTGAGGCTGATTAGGACGGGGGAGATGGAAAGATGATAGGCACTGCCACTGCAGAAGCACTGAAGCACCAAGCATGCATGTTATCGACCAGGAGTGCTTGGGTTAAAGGAACGGCGGATCAATGGTCAAATTCAGGAAAGAGCCCATGTGAAGCGCAGGGACACCCTGGAGTGCATCTCGCTTCGAGGGACAAGAAAGGAACCAAGCGGATTGTCAATGCCGAATCATGTATAGGTTAGATTAGCAGTGGAGTAGTGCTAGCATAGCAACATAGCATAGCGTGGATGGATGCGCACCGGCTGGCAGCGGCCAAAGCGCCGCCCTTTCTGCCGGAAAGCCGGCGAAGGCTAGCTGGATCGGCGGCTTTGCTGCTGCCGAATCATGGAGCGTTCCCAGCCGCGCGACTTATTCGTCTGGGTACCGTGCACTCCTCGCCGACGGACGGACGGACGGCTGGGAGGGAAGAAAGGCTGGCCTTTTCCGGTCCCCGGCCGCAACCACTCATCACGGGCGCCGTGCATCCGCGACGACCACCTAGTTTGGCCCATCAACTAGTACAAAATTATTGCAATCTGCCAAGATGAGGAACCAAGAATGGGCACAATTTGTACAACTAGTATTATTTTCTTTCACTTTGTGTTACAAGATCTCACAGCGACAACGAAGAACGGAAGAAGCAACGAATGTTCTGTAGTATGCACACTTGATTCAATTACTCTGTGTTTGTGTTTGCCCACTGGGGCTAAAGAATCGCACCACGGCCTAGAATTACAAGGCATTCAGCAAGCCAAATTTTGTACAGCACAAGAATTATCTACTTTTTTGGTTGTGTTTTTCAGCGGTTCCTAAGAATGAGTTCACGACGCCGCCACGGTCGGCGGCGAGACGGTTGAGGCGGGGCAGTCCGCGTTCTGCGCCGCGTTGGCGGCCGCCCAGCGTCGGCACGTCCTGCCGAGCGACGCGGCCTTCCGGCGCGCCCGCTCCGAGCCGCTGCCCATGAGCTCCCAGATCGCCCACTCCACGCCGCTGATCGCCAGCACCTGCGCCGCCGCCGCGGCCCCCGCGCGCCGGCACAGCAGCACCAGCGCCGCCGCCGCGCACTCCCGCGACCACTCCGTGCCGCGCCGCATCTCGGCCACCAGCTTCGCCACGGCGCCGTCGATGTTCACGATCGCCTCCGCCCCGCCGCGCTTGGCCAGCGACGCCAGCACCGCCGCCGCGGTCTCCTCCTCGCTGATCGCCGACAGTGCCGCCTCCGCGGCGCCCGCGCCCACCAGCTTGCCAACGTTCTCCCTCTCCGCGGACAGGCACAGCAGCGCGGCGAGAGCGTCCTTCTTGGTGCTCGGAGGGCCCGTGCGCACCAGGAGCACGACCTTCTCGATCACAAGTGGGTTCCGGCCGAGCCGGCGGCGGTACGTATGGACGGCGGACAGGCTGAGCACGGTGGCGGCGGCGTTCTCCTTCGCCCGCCATGTCGCGCCGGAGCCCATCACTTCGCAGAGGGCCGCCACCGCGCCGTCGGTGTGCATGATGCGCTTCTTGTTGGCATCGAGAATGGAGAGGTTGAGCAGCGCCGTCACGGCGTTGAGCTGCAGCGCGGCGTCCTCGGAGTTGAGCAGCGGCACGAGGAGCGGCACGGCGCCGGCCTCTCCGATGAACGCGCGGCTCTCGGAGCCGGACTTGGCGAGCAGACGGATCTCGTGCACCACGCGGTTGTCCGAACCAGGGGAGAACGAGGCCGAGAGCTTCTTCACCAGAAACGACGCGGTCATGCGCGCAGCCTCCACCGCGGCCTTGTTTGCGGCCACCGGTGGCGCCGGCTCGGGCTTGCCAGGCTCGCTGCCTTCCATGGCGACGCCATTCTCCCGGCACCACCGCGAGATCAAGTTCTTGAGCGCCTTGTTGGGCACGAGCTCCAGATTAGTCAGCACCTGGCCGGTCTTGGGGCACGTCGACTTGCCGGCGCCGAACCACCGCGTAATGGACTCGCGGTCGTACGTCTGGCCACTGGAGGACACAACGGGGTCGCGCATCAGGTCGAGAGAGATGGGGCAGCGGAAGTCCGGCGGCGGCGCCAGAGGCTCGGCGTCATCGTCGTCAGCGTCCACCTTGGAGTCCAGCGGCCGCGGCGTGGCAGCGCTGAAGAGGACGCACTTGGCGTACCGGAGGAGGCCGACGAGGGCAATCATGGCCGACGTCCACCGCTCCGCCAGCCGGTCGCCGATCTCGCGCTCCAAGATCTCGATCTCCTGGCTGCAGCTGGCGGGGTCGTTGATGGCCACCTCCTCGAGGATGGCCTCCAGGCGCTCCCTCTCCGGCACGATCTCCCGCTCGACCTCCTGTATGAGCGCCAGCACGCTGGCCTTGAGCTCCTGCTCGGCCGCGGCCTCGGGCGCGGGGCGCCGGCACTGGCGCGACGCGAGCGTGAGGAGGTCGGCCACGTCGTCAGCAAGCCCGAGCTCGCCAACGGGGAGAATATCGAGCAGCGTGGCGAGGTCGTGCTGCAGCTCGCGCACGCGCGCGGCGACCTCGTCGGACTGGAGCAGCAGGCGCATGCGGCTGCGCGCGGAGCAGTCGGCCACGACGGCCTTGAAGCGCTGCAGCACGAGCAGCACCTCGCGGAGGCAGAGCGAGGCGGACCTTGGCATCCCGGCGCCCGCGCCCAGCGCGAGCAGCAGGTCGTCAAACACGGCGACGAGGAGGCGCGCCCGGCGGGACACGGACGCGAAGACGGCCCGGAGGAACGGCGCCGGCGGGGCGGCGGCGGCCAGGTCGCGCGCCAGGCGGCGCAGGGAGCGGAGGATGTCCGCGTCGGGCGCCGACGAGGAGTAGGGCGAGGAGGACGGCTCGGCCGTGCTGGCCATTGCGGCAACCAGACTCAGAGGGCGGCGACGGAGGCGTGAAGGCTTTGGATGGCGTCGGGTTGAATGAATGAATGAATGGGATGCCGATGGAGTGCGGCGATGGATGAGAACGGAGAATGGAGATGAGACGAAGTGGAGGGCGGGCGCGGGTATATATACGAGCGCGACGTGTTGGCGCGTGGAGAACCGGAGAAGAAGCCGTTTTGTTTATTGTTTTTTCATGCCTTAGCGGTGTTATTTTCGCTTATTTTATCGGCGCTATTGTTTGAAGGAAGGAAGATGTCAGTTAGTGGCATGTGGAGCGCTGGATCGGGGGCGATGGACGGTCGGGATGGGTTGTTGGGGTGTGGGGTGGATTGGTGACCCGGCTTGGGTCCGGCAGTTGAAGCGGCCTGACCTCCTCACGTGCCTGATCAATGTGCAGGCCGGGTTTATGGTTGGAAATCGTCTTAGGCATGTGGCTGCGTTGCACAGTGACACGGTCCGTGCGGTTCTACTCTTTCATTTCATCGGCGTCACGACTGTATCAACTTTTCTCTCCTCAGAAAATGCACGACCATATCAACTTTGGGTTTTTGAAGCGGAGATGATTGCACTATTACTACCAAATCATACTCCTAAATGACACTGGTAGCACATTGTCTGTTCAAGTTCTACTGGTAGGATATTCCAGAGGGCTCGTACGTGTGCATTTTCTGCGACAAATAGTTCTGAACGAAGGGAGCAGCTAGTTAGTTTGCTCATGAAGTTCACGCCCACGCAAAAGCTCAGCTACGCTTCCAAATCCGGCACACAAGGCATGGTTGGGTTGGCCAACAAAAATGGTGTGAGCACACACACACACACACACCAAAGTGGATGGTATTAGAACCAGATTGGCAGCCGTTGTACATCAATTTCTGCGACGAGTAATTTAAAACGGAGGGAGTAGAAAGTAGCAAGCCGAGAGCAACGAAAGAAGGCGACGGACAAAGGCGACATTCACGTCAGAGATAGCTGGCCGGGATTAACAGTCGCTCGCCTCGCCAGAGCCGGATTCCGCACAGCACCGCAGCCATGCATGAACCCATCCGCGCACGGCACGGCACGGCGCACGAGCACGTACGCGCAGCGGCGGTCAATTTTACACGGAGCCGGCAATAAAATACCGCCCCGAAAAGTTGCTCCCAGAAAAGCGGGCAAGTTCTTCCAGCCCGCCCGCCCGGCCACCCAACACTTGCCGTAAATCTTCATTGTTCGTGATTAAAATAATCAAAGCTTGAGCATCAGCGCACACCGGCCTGGGTAGGAGTAGTAAAAAAACGGAGGCTTTGTTATCGAGATGGCCTTTTGACTTGATCCGATCCTGGCGCGAGGGTGTGGAGAACTGGCCTCGTGGCGGCAGGGGAAGCGGCCTTTGACCCCGGGCGCGCACGTTTACCACTCCCTGTCGCCGCTGGCCGGTACTAATCCGGTGGCCAGCGGTCACCTCCAGCTAATAATCCCCGACGCGATCCAGCGAGATACGGCCGGCGCGTCGGTGTCGCTTGCGCACGTCGTCGACCGGCGTACTGGCGGACGTGGAAGCCACGCCGCCCGGCTGCCACGGCGCCGTTACCGCCGCGTGACCTCGGCGGCCCGCAACCGCGCGCGAGCGCGACGGCTGACAGCTGAGGAAAAGACGGGCGGTAAAAGTAAAACAGCGTCGCGGGTTCTTTTCTTCTGGACGAAGGTACGGCGGCCGGCCGGCTGATTCTGTGGCTCGCCGTGGCTGATGACAAGTCCTAGGTCGTAGTAAGCGGTGAGAGCGACGGGGCTTTCTCCGGACGTGTGTGGTGATGGCGAAGCGGAGGAAGAATGGCCCGCGCGTGGAGGACGACGGGAGTGTCTGCGACTGTCCACGCGCTGCTACTGACGGCACCGCCGCGTCGTGATTGGGAGATCTGGAATGAGCACTGCTATACAGCCGACACTTATTAAACGACACGCGCACGACGTTTGCCATCTAGCCATCGGCGGCGTTGTTCCTAGAGTATCCTACGGTGGGGAGGATCTATCGGCTGCACATCGTGCACACACCATCGTGTGTAGATCAATTCCGATCTGGAATAATGCGGGTTGCCAGCGTGCCGTAGCGGCGTCGGCTTGGACCATTCGACCGTTCCGTGGAACCTAGTGGGATAGCGGCAGTGTGCCCTTGCGGTCCATTCCATTTCCATGGAAGGATACACGGAGCTCTTTTTTTCAAAACAAAGTAATATATGGAGCTGCCAATTTATCGATGGCACAAATCCTATCTTGCATGGCCGACCAAGCGAAGAACTTCACTTTGAAGGACGCCCAGGCCTTCCAAACTCCTTCTCCGGCGCCTAATCCTGCTTCTCCTCTTCCTCCTCCGGAGAGTCCGGAGGCAGGCCGGCTCCATTGCGAGCGGCACGCCGTGCCTTCATCTCTGCTCGACGCCGCGGGGTCAGCATCTTATAGTAGGTATCCTAAAACAGGCCGTTGCTACCAATGAACGGCGAGGTTGGAGCAGAATAGGGCGTGGTCAGGGTCGTGGTTGTGGTGTAGACTGGAGTGAGAAGCAGGAAACGGGGACAACTAGGGTTGCGAGGCTCGTCGTACAATTGACGGGTTTCTGCGTGTTTTCACGAGAATCCCACCTGTCAGTCCTATTTGGGGCACACGTCTAAGGATTTTTTTTTTCAAAACTGTGATGATTTTTATAGCAAATTCGGAATCTACACGTTCTCACACAAGAAAATCAAAACTAGCACCCTGTCGGCCTCCAGTTGGCCGAAGAGGGGCTCTTCCGCCTGCGGTTGACCGAAGTGGGCTCTTCAGCCTCCCGTTGGCTGAAGAGTACCCCAACTGGACCGAAGGGTACTCTTTGGTCTACCGTTGGCCGAAGAGTGCTCTTTGGTCATCCGTAGGCCGAAGAGTACTCTTTGGGGCCCAAGGCCTAGCATAGGCAAAAGAGCGCAGCCATGCAGTTTCGGCCTCCTGTTAATGCGAAAAGTTGGGACCCGAGGACTCTTCGGCCTACGGTTGACCAAAGAGTGCTCTTCGGCCTACGGTAGACCAAAGAGTCATTTTCAACCCAGTTGGGGCACTCTTCGACCAACGGGAGGCTGAAGAGCCCACTTCGGTCAACCGCAGGCGGAAGAGCCCCTCTTCGGCCAACTGGAGGCCCACGGGGTGCTAGTTTTGATTTTGGTGCGTGAGAACGTATAAATTCCGAATTTGCTATAAAAATCATCACAGTTTTGAAAAAAGCGCTTTCGGTCCTTCACATATACATCCGTCCCAGATATGGGTTGTGGATAAGGGGTGCCGGATAAGTCAAACATATACGGCCGCTTTTAGGGGTTCAGTTAGGTCGCATTTTCACGACCAGACCGTCCACCTAGACGTATAGGAAGGATATGAAGGGTCCGGTTACAGATTCTCTAAACCCCTAAATTTTTTGTATTTTGCCTGCCAAAAATGTTATAAACATGTAAACACTTTTTAATTAATTAGATTGAACAAAACCTTTCTCTGCGTTTAGAAAAAACTCGGACAACAACGTTGTTGTTTTTAGACTCATTCTTCTATTTTCGTACTTCATTTCTTATTATATATAAACGAAATTGGCACTAGCGCACTCGTAAGAGATGACACACTTATTCAGAGTGCATATTTTGAACTTGTCAATTACTCATTTCTAGAAGTAGAAAATCTGGTGAGTCACTTTATACTACTCCAAGTTTGTTCCCTGTTGCGGTAATTTTGTTATTGCATGTTGTGTTAAAAACACTCTTATATTATGAGACGGAGGGAGTACTGACTTGCTTTGGAGTGCATGTCAATAGAAGCAACGCATATGCTAGCGTCTGAGGGTGTGTCGACCTAGCCAGCCGTCGCCTCTTGACCTAGCCAACCGCCGCCTCCAAAAAGCTAGGGTAGTCCGCCTCCCGCCGGCGCCGGCGCCGGTCCGTCCCGTCTCCGATGGCCTCAGGATCTTGCCCCTTGCCGGTGGGAAGGCTCTGTTTTTAGATCTTTTTTCGAGCTTTGTTAGGGTTTGTGTCCTCCTCAGGTAGACGAGGCGGCGACGACTCCCTGAAGATGGAATAAAGGTCTCCCCGCCTAGCCCCCGTTCCGGTGATGCGTCTAGCGTTATCAGTGGGCGTGTGGAGGTGTGTCTCCGACGGATCTGTCTTTGGTGGATTTGCACGGATATGTTCGTCGTTCGTTTTCGTTCGTGTCTCTTCAGGTTGGATCATTTTGATCTACACTCTTCATCTGCGGTGGTTGCTGTTCTGGTGCGTTGATTCTACGGGGCCTTAGCACGACGACTTCCCGACTGTCTATTATAACAAGGTTTGTCCGGCTCCGGCGAGGGAAGGGCGATAACAGCGGCGCGCCTTCGGCTCGTTTCAGTGCTTGTAGTCGTCGCTAGATGGTCTATGAAACTGGATGTAATTTTTATCATTTCTAGTGTTCGTTGTACTATCATGACTAAAAATGAATAGATTGAAAGTTTTCCCGTAAAAAATAAATAAAAATAGAAGCAACGCATGAAAAGGAATAGACTAGCGTGTTTGTCATTCTCTAGCAACTTGCGCATAGAAATGTGGAGAGCTTTCATCAGCCTCAGATATATGAGCACAGCCTCGGATCTGAAAGTCCTCAGTTAGATCTGAAAATTTGGACTATAAAAAGTCTGCCTT